AACAAATGAATAATGTATGTCAACTTAAAGAAGATAAACAATGCCTACTTGAAAGGTTCTTATTTGCTCTCGAGGATTGACAAATTGGTCACTGATTTGTAGAGCTCAGTTTCATATAGGTTTTCTGTAGTTACCACCAAGTCAAGGTGCTTTTGGTTGACGAGGAGAAGACACATTTTGTCACTGATAGGGAGCATTCTACTACAATGTCATGTAATTTGGATCAAAGAATGCCAATGCTATGCACCAAATGTGATCATAAACATGGTCTGACACTAGAAGGGAAAGAACTTGTAGATTAAATTTGATGATTTGTTGGTGACAATTAAGTTGATGATTGGACATTTTTTTAGCCTCTCCTTGATATTTGTAAAACTAAGTACAACATTAGGCTCAATTAGACGATGTTTGTTTGATGTGAGTTATGACAAGTTCTTGGGGCTTTATGAGAACTCATTGGAACTCTCCTTTCTTGAACAAGTTCGGTAATGCTTGAAGCCTTTTGTCTCCTTAACCAGCTAAGGACATATGGAAGCTCACCAGAAATTTTTTGAGCATAAGCATGCTGATCTCTCATTCAGGTGAATGTAATATCTTCTTTTCAAATTTTGAAGAAATCAATTATAAAATCTTCTCAAATGGAAAGTAGTGTTCATACAATTAAAGCAACCTGTCACCTCTCAGCATGTCTGCTTTTGTGTACATGATGTCCCATTAGCTTAGCCTTGGTGTGCGACGATGGACAAAAGTAGTAGTCAATCTACTATTTGTTTTGTGCTCTCATTGCGTTAGAGAGAAGCTACTTGATAATTGACAAGTTGCTGCTTGCATTACTCATTCTTGCTTGACAACCTTGACTTTATTTCAAAGTCCATCCAATCGGGGTAGTCATTCAATAGGTTATGCAAAAGCTATTGTTGCCTGGCCAAAGACCAAGGGTCTGTTTGGGGCAGCTGCAGCTTATCCAGCTTATGCTAATAAGCAGCTTATTCTGATAATCTGCTGATGAGCGGCTGATCCAGATAAGCTGGCTGACTGTTTGGTTTGTGCGTTGAGAAAACAACTGATTCTGGATAAATGACCATTCTGCCCCTGTTTTGGATAAACTGTTTAGTTGTTTGGTTTGTGCTTTTAGTAAATAACTGATTTGCAAATTTTTTGGAAATAAAATTCCATTTAGACATTATAACATTTAATTTTCAAAAAATTATTTATAATTCTGTGTAACATAAATTCTAATAAATAATTTATATTTTACACTAATTATAAAATAAATTAATTTAAATTTAATTAAATAACAGACATCTCTCATATTTTGTCACAAAGTAGTACATTCGAGTGAAAAGTGAAAACCAAAATTATAAAGTGGAAATCAATGGATCCTTGAAGCTAGAAGAGGATCTCATTAAAAAATTTCCCTTCATGCATCAAAAACTTAAGAACTTCATTATCACCTGTTAGCAGCACTGTATTTCAATCAGAGTATTTAAGCTAACATAGTATACTCGATATTATTAGCATTGTTATTTCAAGCACCTGTTACCTTTTAAATCACTTCTATGTAATCCCAAAAATAAAGCAAAAACAGGCATTGATATGATGACAGTTATTCCACTTCCTTCAAGATGAAGATCTTCCTTCACTCAATGTGATGCATTGCAACTCATTGTTATTTCAAAGGCAGTTTAGCGTTGCACTTCATTAATAAACCAAAAGCTTAGGCCAGCAACAGACCCATAAAAAATCAGAGAACATTCATCTTAACATCCAAACCCCAACATAATAGATAACATAATTAAGCCACCGCCAAATGATACCAGCAAATAGACAGAAAAACAACCCAATAAAGAGAAAATGAATAACAGAAAAGGTAACACACCAACCAAACCATACTAACATTAATAAACCAAAAGCTTAGGCCAGCAACAGACCCATAAAAAATCAGAGAACATTCATCTTAACATCCAAACCCCAACATAATAGATAACATAATTAAGCCACCGCCAAATGATACCAGCAAATAGACAGAAAAACAACCCAATAAAGAGAAAATGAATAACAGAAATGGTAACACACCAACCAAACCATACTGAGGTTAGAGTCCATACAACAAAAACCACCTGCAATTATCATCTCCTTCAGACCAGTTAGAAAAACCAAAGAAATATTCTTAACAGAAGGCAAAGCACCTTCAAACCTAGCAGAGTCATTAACAAGCAAAACAAACCACAATGAAAGGAAGGAAAGAAAAGGAAGTATGCTCCCCTCTTTTGTCCTTCCAGAAAAGAGACCACTTATATGCAACACAATTGTGAGATGCACTTTGTCCAGCTAACTATACCTCTGTTACTTTTAATTGAAAATGCTTGAATAAAATATCTATACTAACAAATGTGTTGGGCAATATGGAACTCTCCAGAGATTGCCTTTACTACAACCCCCATAGGGCAAATTCTTTTTGAATCATTTACATACATACCACACACTTCCTATATTGAGCAGCTCGTTTAAGCATCTATATACAACACCTAAACTCAAGTACTGCCATAAGAACTTTAATTGGGAATAGGCCAAAAAATCAACTTTAAATATCCTCCAGATTAATGTCATGAAACATAATAACTAAGAATAGACCAATTAGATTGCACACGGAATTTCACCAATCGTGCTATTCATCAACATCCCAATTTTCTATATGAAGCTCTCTAATTGGATGGACTAAGCAGGGTATACAACAACAAAAAATAAGAAAGTAATATTACACCTCCCTGGCATTAATCTGAGTTCACCAAGTATTGTGCCATTGACAACCAAAATATAGAACAATTGGCCAGTTCACAACACTATACCTTATGCACTTCATAAAGAACCAACAAACACACGCTGGACAACAAATTGAACCCAAAATGGATAACAATTCAGTTAGGGGTACACACAAAGTAAATTTGTTTCCATATTTATCAATAGTGGGCAGATTCGGTTATCATCAGGATGATAATTAACCTTTTATCCGACCAATTTTTGATGCATTTTCCTTGAAGACCAGACTGTTTTAAGTAAAATAAATGGCCCCTATGAAGAGACAGACCAAGGAATTCTAAAATGCTTTAAATAAATGGCCCCTATGAAGAGCCTACTAACATGCATTATCCTTGAGAAACAAACGTGTCTTTGAGAAGTCAGCCAATACTCTTTACTATTATAATAGAATGGCAATCCATTATGAAGTTGCAGAAAACCGTAATATACTAATAACAAGATAACAACACTATTTATACTAATAACGAATCAAGATAATGCCCAGAAATGTAGTTTTTTATGAAACATCCTTCCCTCATTCTACTCTTATCTCCATAACTATAATTTCCATCTCTAATGTTTTTCAACAAGAGTTTCCAAGCTCCTCATCAACATAAAACTTTACTCTCAACATCTTCCCCAGAACTCCAACCAAACAACTCTGAAAAATAAATCAAATAAAAGGAATCTTTTCTATTCTTGCTCATCTGGACACCAAGGACCAAGGTAAGAGTGAGGCAAAAGAGGCAAAAAATCCTTCACAAACATAGTATAATCATAAATCCACAGATTTCAAGAGATGGGAAGTTCCAAATTCTAGTAGAGGAGACGGAGGGAGTAGAGGAGGGAGGACAAATTTTTTTACCAGACGGGAAATAGGGTAGCGACGGGAAGCGCAACATTCGATCTACCAGCTAGGGCGATGATCCAGGGTTAGCAAGGGCAGGGGTGGAAAAGCAGGGTTGCGAACACGATACGCAGGTATAGGGCTGCGGTCACTGTTTACGCTAAAGAGTAAAACGCCGATTTTAAAAAGGCATTAGCGCAACGGCGTTTTTGAAAACGCCGCCGCGCTTTTATGCTGCCCCAAACGGGCCCCAAGTCAGATTAAACTCGATGAGTGCAACATTGAGTGGGTAGCATGCCCATCTGAATGTTGGTACTTGCAAATTCAATGATCGAGTCTTGGGCTATGAGTGAATCAATGCACTTGATGAACAACTTGAATTCGACTATATTAATATTTGTGTAAGCTCATTTAGGTTTGTAATAAAAAGTGAAAAATTTTAAGCTTGAAAATTAAATGAGCCAAGCTTGAATACTGTCTAATTTATTTATTTATGTTTACGACCAAACTTGTTTGTTGTTCAACAAGTAACTTGTTAAAGGTTTGATATAAAGTTCGATGATATGCTGCATATTATTTAATAAGTGAATGAATTGCTTGATGATCTTTAACTCACGATAATTCCTTGCCAGTCTTTGCTATCTACTTCGTCTACTTATTGATATCCTTGCCAACCTCAGTCTTTCCATTATTTGTTCTTAAAAATAATGCAAGAAGCACCTTCTGCTTGTGCCCTTATGGTGGTTCCTTTCATTTTTTATTTAGCAATCCTAAAGCTGTCAATTCTGCAGTCATTATTTACTTTCCAACACATTTCATTGTACATCACATAGAGAAACCCGAATTGCTCTTTTTTGAGGGCCAAATCTTAGGAGCCATTTATTTTTTACTTGAGCACGGCCAAAGAAAAGGACCAGTACGATACATATTACTGTTCAAGGTCGCTATTTAATAGCGGGCAGGCAAACGTGAGCTGCTGAAGAGAACAAAAATGGAAAAATAAAGCTTCTTTACTTAATGAAACTTGAGCAAATAGCCCAAAAGCACAAATTTCTTAGTAAATAAATGGGCGTTTCTTGCAGTCAAAACTATAGTCATTACAGTTTTTCCTGAAGCTTTATCCTTGCATGATTTTCTTTTTAACTGGTAAATTTTTTCAATTTTTCTCCTGCTCCATTTATAGACATTTTTTTTTAATCTTTTTTATTGCCAGTGCTGAAGGAATATTTCTCTTGTGCAGTCAGAAAACCTTGTTTTTTTTTATTTCTTGATTTTTAATTTGCTGATCTATCTCTGGCACTGTAGTAATGTTTCTCATTCTCTGTGATTTAACTTAATATTTATTTGTCTGCAGGGGAAATACTCAACAAAGGAACCTGTTATTTGACATTATGAAGAGCAGGCATTCAATGATGGATGCTTCTTTTAATCGAGATCAAGATGCTTTGATTCCGAAAGCACTCAGCTGCGAAGAAATAAATACATATCATGTGGATTCAACTGGAGCAACTCTGACTGTTGATGCAAGTGTTGGCCTTATCTATAAATACTGTGATAAGCTGCCCAGAGACAAGTATGGCAATATTTTCCTTGGTAGCTTTAATTGATCTTATTTTAGCAATATTTTCCTTACTATTATTAATTGATTACATTTTCCTTTTAGAGTTATGTTTTCTTCAAAAATCTTTGTTATAACCCATGCTCTATTGTAACCCATCACTAATTCTAACATCCTCTCATTGTAGATATTTCACTCCGAGACCAGTTTTCCAGTTTGATGTTTGCAGTGGGACATATGAGTGCACAATAACTCTACCAGCCAATGCTGCATTTCGGACATTAGCTGGTCCTTTCTGTAGAAATTCTCATCTAGCAAAACAACAAGCTTGTTTGGAGGCTTGTAAGCGGCTGCATCAACTTGGTGTTTTAGACGATCATCTTAATCCTATAATTGTAGAACCAATGGAATCTGAGGTTGATGAAAAAACAAAACAAAATACTGCTGGTGCAGGTATTGGTTCTATCTTCTTTTTTACGCTTATGTTGAAAATTAGCCTACTATTTCTTATCTGTTTCTTTGGTGCTAAAATTGAGACTTACTCCTATTGTTGTTTGAAGGTACAACGAAGAGAAAAGAACTCCATGGAACCTCAATCATACGCGCAACATCCGGAACTTGGGCATACCAAAAGATCGGTGCAATCACTTTGCAAGGATACAAGATAAAGTTTGTGTGCAATCACGTAAACTATAAATATTCTGGCTTCATTTTGTTGCTTGATGCCATTCTTGATGAAGATGTTGGCTGTTTGGATATAGATCTTTATTTGGTTGATAAGATGGTGAAAGCCAACATTTCTCCATGCGGACTCATTGAGATGGATAACAAGCAGGTCTCTCTTATCAATGAAAAAATCCTAGTTTATTCAATACACTTGCTCGGAAATAATATTCTCATAATTTATTTATGCTCTGATTTAATCTCAGATTGAGCGAGCAAAAATATTCCAAGAACTATTTTTTAATGGCTTATTTGGCAAATTATTTAAAGGATCCAAATCTAGCGGACAGAAAAGGGAGTTTCTACTAAAAAGCAATAAAAGGCCAACATGGAGCAGTTCCAATATGTACCTGCTTTTACCACTTAAAACCTCAGACCAACAACATCAAGATGAAGCACATATAAACTGGGATGCAATTGATGCGACCTTTTCCGCGGTGGAATTTATATCAATAATTTACACATCAGGAGCGGAAAGTGATCAACTGTGGAAAAATCCTGTTTCATTTGTTTCAAGAAATGATTCCGATGAATCCGGTGTCATCCACCTTGCCAATAAGCTTTTGCATGTTCAAAGTGTTAAAGACTTGGTAGTTGTGGCGATTCACACTGGCAAAATCTACACGGTTCTTGATGTTGTAACTGATTCATCTGCTTGTAGTTCGTTTGATGCACCGGGGTTTGCTACATATAAAGAGTACTTTAGCAAGAAGTAAGCAAGGTTTTTGATAATATTTTTCATTTTATTAATGTATTTATGAAATTTACTTTAGCAAGAAGTAAGCATGGTTTTTGATAATATTTTTCATTTTATTAATGTATTTATGAAATTTACTTACAACCACACACTTCTTATGTATTTACATATCTAACACCCAAAGTTTGATATTTATACTTAAAAAACCTTAGTGTCATAAACATATGCATGAAAATCTGTTTTTGACTTTTAAAAAGATAGTAATGTTGGCATTTTGTATGTGATATTAAATGTATGAGTCGTATGAATGTAAATGTGAATGCTTAGGTGTTAAATAGGTAAATACATGAGAATTGTGTGGTTAGTATGTAAATGCCCCAAAATATTTTTGCTCAAAGAAGACACACTTTAGCACTCATCAGCATGCATTTGTACATACTTCATGCATAAACACCTAGTTTTATGTAGTTGGACGGGAATGAGAATTCTTTTAGGTAGGATGGTTATTGTGTGATCGCTGCCTATCAGGTTTATGCCAATTGAGTCCATTTTTCTTTTTGTGGATTAGGTATGGAATTGTGCTTCAGCTCCCAGGGCAACCATTGCTGCTTTTGAAGCATAGTCATAATCCTTACAACCTTCTTTCTTCATCCAGCTACATTGAAGGTTTGATTTTCTTGTAAAGTTTTCTATTATTATTGCATTTAATGTTTCTTTTTTTAATTTTTTTTATTTTCTGTTGTGCTATATTTTTTGCATATAATGATAATCATTTTAAAAATTCTTTAATGTTAGGAATGTTTAGGATAACTATCGGCAACTTTTTTTATCCCAAATTTTATTAAAAATATTGAGAATGAAAAATTACTTTTTTTTTCCTTAAGGCACTGTTTGATACGCTGGATTTTAGAGGAGAAAGTTATTTATGATGATCTTACTTACAAATCTCTTTAATTATACAAATGAGTACATTGTTCGCAGCTACTTCCAAATAAACATTCATTGCTTTAAGGTACTGCCAAATAAACATACAACACGCATCAAATATAGAATACTACTTCTTAATTTGATTTTTTTTCTTAGCAGTACTTTCCCTCTAGTTGAAGCATGCACACACACACACACATTTATTATCTTTGTCTTGCTGCATAATTGAGAGAAAGATGGAGGTTCTAGAGATTTTGTAAATATACCAAATACTTGTTTTAAAGTGGAGGAATGCGGGGTGATAATCTTTTTAGAAAGTGCATATTCAATGACATGACAATCAATGTCATTATGCTTGACTCTTCATTCAACACATAATTGTTGGCAGTGTAGATGGCTACACAATTGCATGTTACAAAACCAATTGGAAAACCAAACTCCTCTAAGAGAGTTTTTACCCAAATCATTTCATATGCCAAGTAGTCATAGCTCTATATTCAATTTCAACATTACATCTGGTCGCCATAAATTGTTTCTTACGTTTCACAGTGACCAGGTTCATTCCATCCTGTTTATAATCTCTAAAAGTTGACTTCATGTCTTCAATAAAGTGTTATAATCAAAACTTGAGAATGCTTCCACATCCATGTGCTTAGTTTTAGCATTTAATATCCCTTTTCCATGAGATATTTTGATACTTGATAATGTGCAAATCTTCTTATACTTGTGTTCGGGATTTTGCTTGTACCTAATGACAATTCCTACAATGAATGAAATATCAAGTGTTGCTTAATTTTTGATGTACAACCCAGTTTATATGTACTTCATGCTGCTGTTGGCCTAAAAGTTTAAGTGGTAAAAACATGCACATATTGAAAGTTTGGAACTACTCAACCATAATTTGCTATTGTTTTTTTAACAGAAATTCACTTTTATGCCTGCAAAATATCGATCATCTAAATAATTTGCCAAATAATCTATTAAAAAATATTTTTTGGAATATTTTTTCTCACTCATTTTGAGGTTAAACTAACTCAACCATAAAAAAATTATGAGAATGTGATTTGCATACAATTATTATCAAGTAAACTAAGAATTTTTTATTAATGAGAGAGGCCTACTCGATATCCAGCTGAATTTGCACCGGGAAATGAAAGCCTTCGATCAATTAAATGAATTCCTTTATCTAAACTTATAAAACCTTCATAAGAATAGCATTAAGCAACAAAATAAATTCATTGTGATTACACAAATTTATCTTCTCTGCTTGTAAAATGATAGCATTAGTCTTCTTGTGTGCCAGGTTGGTGCTATTGTATGTGTTTCAGCTGTTATATGGAGTTACTCTTTTCTTGTTATTCCTTAAAAAAATAATGGAATTCCATCTCAATGAAATTTTAGTTTAGCTAGTAAAATATTATCTTATTTTTGTATTACATTTTTCATTGTTTAGTTTTTTTGTTTGTTCGATTTGTTTTTAATATAATAATTATGTTTTAAATAAATTATTGAATGATAGGATTGTTTAGAATACTCACCTGTAATAATTTTATTTCCGAATATTATTGAGCATGAAACCTTATTTTTTTATATTAATGTACTATTTGGTGCAATGGGAAGTTAGTTGTGATGATCTTATTCACAAGGCTCCTCAATGTATAATTAAATAAACATACAACACATCAAATGAGGTTAATTAAAGTGAAGTCAGTTGTGATGATCTTATTCACAAGGCTCCTCAATGAATAATTAAATAAACATACTACACATCAAATGAGGTTAATTTTTTAATTTTATTTTTTAATATGTGAGTACTTCCTCTCAGGTTGAAACATGCATGTATATATATGTAGAGTTTCTTTTGTGCTCTAATGCACCACGATAAAGAGTTAACTTGTACTTTTAGGAAGCTCAAGGTGCATGATAACAATTATTCTACTAACTCTAAGTTAACCATGATAATTTTTGCATTAAAGTTCTAACGACATTATCTTCATGATATTCATTGTGAGTTTTTTGTTGATCATTAAAGCTTGAAGTGTATTTTTCGTCGAGAGTTAAGCTATAATATAAAGCTTCAATTTATGTATTTTCTTGGATAATCAATCGAGAGCGATAGATGGAATGACTTCAGCTTGAGATAATACGTCTAGGAGGCAATTTTATATTGCACATGACCGGGGGTGTAAACGAGCTGAACATGAGCCCGCCCGAGCTTAGCTCGTGTTTGGCTCGTTTAAAAATATTATTGTTCGTGTTCGACTTGTTTATTTTCAAACACAAAAAATTTATTCGTGTTCGACTTGTTTGCTTAGCGAGCCGAACACAAGTTTTTCGCGAACAAAAAACGTTTGATAACCTAATTACACAACCATAGGATGCTAAGGATAGGGGTGAGATATAAATCTTATCATTTATATTCAAACATCATTTAAATATGATTTAATATATTTCTATTCTATTTTTTTAAGTAATAATTTTAATTGATTATAAATCTTTGTAGCTTTATGGTCAGTCAATTAAAATATTTAAAAATACTACTCATCAATTATATATATATATATATGCATATAATTATTATTTTGAGCCAAAACTAGCCAAACACGAACGAACAAATATTTATTTGTGTTTGACTTGTTTATATATCGAGCGCAAAAAAAATAGTTCATGTTTGGCTCGTTTGCTTAGCGAACGAATCAAACACGAGCTTCTTAATGGGCTGAACTTGAACTGTTCGCGCACAACAAACTGTTTTGACAATCCCACACATGACTATTCATCCAACTATTGTAGATTAGAATTGTACTTCTCAAATGGAAGATATTGAAGTGAAGTTCTTTAGTAATTAAGTTTATAATGGATTGAAATACTTGTTCATTATTGATCAAACAGACATTAAAGATGATTATATATCATCTAGATGAGGAAAGACTTCAATAAGAGATACTCAAGAAGTACATATCACATAATTATTGTTCATTTAGGGAGCATAAAAATGTATCAATATCTCAAGGAGCATTTCAGGTTATTTGGCATGGATAATCTTGTTTATTTTATAGTTAAGTGTTTGATTTGTTAAATGTTCAATTTTGAATTTAAAAATTTTGTTGAACTTTTGTAGCAGTCTTATTTTCGAATGAAATTAGGAGGAGATTGTAATTAGATTTCATAGCTGGCTTATCCATTGTAATTAGATTTCATAACTGGCTTTTCCAGATTTAAATAAGATCATTATTATAATTTAGGTCTAGCGGAGAAGGTAATATGGTTTGGTCACATTAAACGTCGACCATCTGATGATCCGATTAGGAGAGTAGATGTTTTAGATTCGACTTGTGTTAAGAAAGGGGTAGACCTAGGAAGTCTTGGGCTTATTGTGTTAAAAATGATCTTAATTTACTAGAACTAAATGAAAATATGACACTAAATAGGACGCAATGGAGAAAAAGGATTCATGTAGCCGACCCCACGTAGTGGGATTAAGGCTTTGTTGTTGTGGAGAAGGTAAGATGAATGCAAGGGGATATTTTTTTTATTTTTTATTTTTTTGATTATATGGCATATCAATCATCATCATTTTTGATTGAGATGAAATTTTTTTTCCAAGACATTAAAGAACATGCTAGTGATTTTGGGTATAAGATTAGATTTTCAGCACCACATTTCATTCTCAAACAAAAGGTCAATCATAGTGTATTAATTAGAATTTGGAAAATTAGAACTCGTGTTATTGAGCATTGCATTCCACTTGTAAAGTTTTTCTAAACTAAAATGAGCATGACACCATGTTAGACTCGTTATGTAAAAAGTTGTGAATCTCAGTGTTTGTTTGGGTCTGGCTAGAGAAAACTCTTAAGATATACATCATTTGTGAGGATATTCTAGAAAAAATTGTCAAAATAAGAAGCAACATAAGAATTTGAAGAAAAGACAAAACAAACTTTACTATGAAGCAGCTATATACATATATATATATATATATATGCTTCAATTTGAGATGAAGTGAGTGTTACTGTAGAAATATGTCAAATTAAAAAATTATTGTGTATTTGATGAGGGTTGTATGCTTGTTTGGTTTGACCTTGAATCATTTTAAGAAATCTCTGCAAATACTCCTTGGAATACACCTCTCTTACTTACATACACACTCAATCCTTCCCCCCCCCACTGTCAAAAGTCCCTTGCACACTCATACACACCACCATCACCCAAAAGTCTCTCCAACACTCCTAAATACTGCATTACATAAAAAATCCACCTTTAATTATTGTCAAAACTATCAATGTAACAGGAAAGTTACCCATTGTTACTTTGTACCGTCGGGCCGCTGCGAAGTGGCGCTTAGGTGTTGCAGTGGGCTCTGGGGCTCCTATAAAGTGGCGCTAAGCTCTCAAGTTTTGGCTTCATTTTCTGCTGGGAACATTACCGCGACACTGCTACAGCAGTGCCTCAATGGTGCTACAGTAACATTGATACAATACGTTGCTACAATAACATTGCTACATTACTTGTCATTTTTTCCCATTTTCCGTTCCCGTAAATTTTCTGCAGAAATGCCATATAAGCATAAAAATATTAACATAAAAAAGTACAACATTTTTCATGCATTTTGAGCACTTAACACATACCACTTAATTCTTATCTATTCACATGTCTAACACCTAAAGATCATGTATGCCACCTTACCTATGCATGAAAAAGGTATATTTCATTTTTAAAAGTAAAAAAAAGTAGTATTT